ATAAGGATGTAGTTTATGACTACTTACACAAGGCGAAGAAAATATATCCTAGATTTTGTACTGGCGATACTCGACAACTGTATCTATATTTTTACGGAGATATATATATCATAACGTCAAACATTATTGCGTGAAAACTGTATTGATAACCACTCCTGAAAATTTTATTTTCAACTATTTCTCTAAATATTAAATACTGTATGGCTGTATGCCCGTTAGTCACTGACCTCTTCGTCGATCCTGGCTACCCAGTCTTCTATATACATATCACCATTTGTCCCTCTTGTAATTGTCCCGCTTGTAAATATTTGTTTATGTACCTATATATGTACTGTGGTTTTGTATTTAAAAACAAAATTGTATTCAACTAAAAATATAGTAATAAATGTTGTTTTTTAAATTCCTTCGGTCATACAGTTACTCTTCCCTCGTCACCGTCAGGCGTCAGTCGTCAGTCGTCACTCATCAGTGCTTCTGAACTTCCTGAAGCCTGTAGCCAAAGGCCCGAGTCGGCGAGCCCTGGACCTGGCCCTGGGCCAAAGCTCTAAAGGTGAAGCGCTGGCCGGCCCTGAACTGTGAACAGGCTGAACTTCCTGAACTTCGGAATCTGAACTTCTGATGTCAATGTGCTGAACTGCTGATGAATGTCCGAAGAGTGATCATTACAAAACCTGGCCTGGTATACGATTAAGACATAACTTCATAACTTCATAATAGCAAACTAGTAGTTTCCGTCTTTCCGACCCGTCGCGATATGTCTTCTTAGGAGAATATTATGATGTATGTCGACTATAATAAAAGACACGGCGCCCAGACATGTCATCATAGCGAAGTAGTTTCCGACGGCCTTATTTAACATGTCGTCATAGCGAAAAGTGCTGTCTTTAAAAAAAACATATGTGCATTCATGACCCTCTCTCTCTCTAGTAGAGAAGAAATAAAATAATATGACAGTCGGCAGACGGCAGTCCGGCACCCAGCCACCCAGTCACAGTAGCACCCACAGGGCGCAGGTCACACAACTCAAGTCACAACAACAAGCCCGGGCCTCCGGAAAAGAAACGACAAGTGGAACAGCTGTCATCATGACTTGTAATAAATAGAAAAGCCCATTGTGTGTGTAAATAACTGTGTATTGTACTTTGTACAGTACATTAGGTAATACATACATTTGGTTTTTTGGTTTTGTTTAAATAAAACAATCAAAAAAAATACCAGTCATCACTCACCACTCACCAGTCACCAATCACCAAGAAGTCATCACTCACCAGCTGGGTTGGCATCCGACAACGACGTATACGGTACACCCCTTAAAAAATGTCTCCGCGACCCGTAGTACATGTCGTTTGGTGTCGCGACAGTCGGGTCTGGGTCAACACTAGGTCGCCGACATCCGATGCCGACCGACATGTCTGACAAAATGTCGTATCGACACCTCTGACAGGTCTATTTGCCAAATGCCGGCGTCTTTTACCAGCCCAGGCCCACTGCCCAGCTCACCGGCCAGCAGAGTGCAGACAGCTGTGTGTATTTACAGATCCTACTAGTGCCGTTTCATTGGCTGCTACATCTAAATGACCCTTTTTTTCATTCTTTTGTTATAAATATATAACGATTGTTGTAATTAGAAATCGGATGACAAATAATTAATCTATTGAGGAATTTCATTCTTGACTGCTTTTGACTCCTGAGTCATCGTTCTTGCTTCCTTTCAGTGAATTTAAATACAATTTTGCATAGATACATATGCAGCGTTCGTTCTTCAATTCTTCTAGCCGGTGTAATTCGACAAATAGCTTCACAACTCGATCGAACTTGGTCCACCTGTCACATCGCAGACCATCCTACTAAGAGTTTAATATGGAAAAAGCAAAGGCATTTGATTTACCAAACAATGGCGGGAAAATTGGGCTTGAGGAGGACTCTGCGCTTGCTGTAGACATCGACGATCCGAGACAGGACGATGCAGTACAAAGTAGTAGTGGTCAGTCCCATGGTAAGTCGCCCAAAGAGTTAGAGAAACCATCACCAGCTAGGAAACACAATGTACTTGAAAGTCACAAGGGAGACGACGATGACAATGAACCCTGGGAGGAGTCCCCATTGACCGCTGCGAGATGGTACCAGAAGTTATTATTCTCTCAGGTGTGTTGAATGTTGCTGCTGTGTTCATACCAGTTGTTCAATTGCTTCATGATCCGGACTTCAAATCAAGAACAAAATACCGCACCAACTTGATAATACCCAGATGTGGTGAATAAGTTCAGTATACATCTATTTGTATATAGTCTTAGTCGAGCGTATACAACGCAAGTATAAGAAGTAGCATATTCTTTCCACTTTTGTCTGTAAATTACTGTATTCCTACATACTTTAATTTACTTCCCAATTATAGAACTAGAATAACAAACTCGATTCATTCAAGTACGTATGCGCGTCAA